CAAGCTGGACGACGTCGGGGCGCAGCTCGGCGCGCACGCGCCGCGCGCCGCGCGCGCGAGGCTGCTCGCCATCCAGGCCGCCATCTTCGACCGCCGCCGCGAGGTGGCCGCCCCCGTCGCCTACTTCTGGCTCAAGGCCCTCATCCACCACCCGGCCTTCGGCATGCTCATCACCAACGCCGACAGCCACGCGCTGCGCGCCCTGGTCGACGTCGACGTGCGCCCCGTCCCGGGCGCCGCCCACCCCCGCGACTTCCAGGTCGTCTTCGCCTTCGCTGACAACCACTTCTTCGAGGATCGCGCCCTCGTCAAGACCTACACCCACTCGGACCGCCGCGGACGCGTCGTCGGCACGCATCACATTCGCTGGAAGCCCGCCGCACCGAGGGAGCTCGTGGCAAGCAAGGGCTCCAGGCGCGACTCGTCCTCGGGCTTCTTTAGGTGGATTGCCGCCGATACTAGAGATGCCGCTGCCTTGGGCGACCTCGTCAGACAGGAGGTTTATCCACACGCTATCGAGCTCTTCTTCGGTACCTACTCCACCCTCCCGCAACACCCCTCCTACCTCGACCCTAGGCAGCGCTAGACAAACTATATAACAACTACTTAGGCTTGCAACCTCCCACCCCAAATGCACAAAGTTAGAACAAATGCGGAAACATTTCTCTCTTCGCATCCGCGTCCTTCCGAGTAAACGACACCGTCTCGCCCTCCCTCGCCGACCTAACCGACATCCTCTCCTCCTTCCCCTTCTTCTTCAGGGGCACCCTCTTCTTCTCCTCCTCCAGCCTCAGCAGCTCCTTCAAGCTCTCCCCATTCCTAACTTCCGTCTCGCGCGCCTCCTCCAGCATCTCCTTCTGCGAGAGCACCCTAATCTCCGGCTTTTCCTTCTCGCGCAACTTCTTCCTCCTTCTCCGCTCCATCTCCGTCACCTCGCGCTTCTCTCTTTGCTCCGCCGCCCGCAGAGACGCCATCTTCGTGCTCCTCCGCAGCGACTTTGTCCGATGCCCGCCCGCCCTCCCCGCCTCCGCACCCTTCCGCACCTTCTTCACCCCCCGCGACCCCGCCGCCGCCCCGCCCGCGCTTCGCTTCAGCCCCGGGTCCACGTACTTCCCGGCCCGCGCCTTCCGCGCCGCCACCTTCTCGACCCGCCGCACCGCTTTCTCCGCCCGCTCGCCCTCGTCTTCGCCTCCCTTCTCCTCGGCCTCGTCAAAGTCCGAGTCAATTATGTCCTGCCGCGCATGTGTCGCACACCGTCAGTACGTGCACGATGCCCTCGCTCGCCAGCTCCCTCGCGCGCTCCGCAGAAAAATTGACGCACCTCGCCATCGTCTGAGAGCCGCTCCGCGTCGAAGCTAGCGTCGTCGTCGTCGTTGTCCGCGAACGCCTCTTCGCCCCACAGCGGGCCCGCCGCGGACGCCTCCGCCTCCTTGGCGCGTCGCTCCAGCTCCACCAGCGACTTGTACGCGGAACGCGAGCTGCGGCGCGTAGACATTGTGATCGTGTGCGGCGGATCGGAACCTGGACACGGTGCGAGTTGACGGGGATGGGGGGAAGGGGGGGGGGGGGGGGGGGGGGGGTTTTGGGGATTTTGGGGGTTTTGGGGAAAGGGGGCGAGGGGGATGGCGTGATGAGCACGACACCGGCAGCAGGCGGCAGAAAGTGGGGGGGTAACGGGCAGACACGTGTATGCTCCGGAATGGCCAAGTGATACGATGTGTGATACGATGTATAAATGCAGCTTGCGAGGGAGGCTTGCGAGGGAGGCTTGCGAGGGAATCTTTCGTCGGATGGGGCAGTTTCTCCAGAGTTGGTGACCCTCTTCCCTTCTTTGGCTGCGGGAGGAAAGTAAGCACGGTCGGTCCTATGCTGCCCGCTAAGACGGCGGTTGAGGATCCGGGCAGCACTGCAGGGGCCATGCGCTCTCCTGGATATGATGACTTGGACAGATTCTTGCCCTGCTCGATGCGAGCTTCTTGACAGCTTGTATTTCTTTCCTTGAGACCTCTTGCCTGACCGGGCCTCATCCTGTAGTGTCCACCTCATTGCACAAAGTGTCTTCTCTGACATTCCTCGCGATTATTGACCCCGATAAAATAAGTCACATGGCTTCACCGTGCCGTTATCATGAACGCCCTAGTGTGTATCGTTCTAGTTTCTTGTAATCCTACAAGTGTCACCACAAGCAAGAGATCTACGTATTGTGCGAAGATTATTATATATTATTCTTTCTTCCATGTGTAGAGCCTGAGGTAGCGAAAAAGCACGCACTGTCCACAGAAGCTTCCCGTCCCAAGCCAACTGCAGGCTTGTTTCTTCTTTGGTCAAAGCATTCGTGCCGTTCTATAACTTTCCTTCTTGGAATCGAGCCTACAAAAACACTCTTTGAGCCCCTGCATATCGCCAAACCAACCATCACCACACTTTTCAACCACCGCGCCTGACGTTTCCTCCCCTTCAGCAGAAACTCCGAAACCCGGATTCGCAATGGCTGCAATTCAAAGAACACACATGCGTATGCCAGCATTTATTATAGTCGCTATCCTCTCTCTCTGTCTCTTCGGCCTGTCATTCGAAAACAAGTTTTGGCGCATCTGGGGCGCGAACAAACAATCCACCCCGAAGAAGGGCTCATCTGAAGCCAATTCTGTCAAGCTCGGCGGAAATGCAGTCACAGGGTTTGCAGAAGCGGTACCTGTGGAAGAACCTCTTTCAGATAAAGAAGAAGATGGGTTTGAGGATATGGAAAAGCGCAATGCTAATAGAGAAGATGGCCCAGAACCGCAACTCCAAGAGACTTGGAGTGAGGAAGGCGGACAAAGCGAAGATATCGAAGATTCGGAGACGGCGCCTTCTATTCTTGAGCCCGTAGAAGAGTCCCTGGCAAAAATTGACGTCCATACAGATGGTGAGGACAATGCCGATAGTTCAAGCACTCAGAGTCCAAACTCAACCATTGAACAGGAGCCATCTGACCCGCAATATCCTGAGAACAAATCCAGAAGCCAAGGATCAAATGGGGCTGAGGGTACAGAAACAGTGTTACAAACCGTTGGAATTGACAAATCAGCGGGAGGAAACTCTGCTTACCAGCACAAGTCGGAACGCCGCTCAAGAGCAAAAACCTTCCTGGTCGTCTTCATGGGACACTCAGGTAGCACAGCATTCACAACGGAGCTTCGAGCACATTCACAGTTTGAAGTCAAGCGTCTCGAGCCGTTGGATCACGGGGAGTACCAAAGAGACTCAAAATTGGCGCTTCAGAAAGCTCGTGAATTGATGGATCTAGGGATTGCTAATGGAAAGATCCCCGGCTTTAAAATTCGCCCGTGGCACATAGGTAACATGCCAGAGCAGTGGCAAAACTTTGTGAAAGAATATGACACTCGAATCATATGGCAATATCGTGAGAACATAGTCAAACAAGCCATTGGTGAGTATCGACACAGATTTTTAAACGATTCCTCCGTCGTGGAGGGTTTGAGAGCAGATGAAGAGGTTTGCGCCAAGGACAGTGATCAAAAGTGCAGAATCAAAATTGAGAACATGAGAGGTCTGCACGGGCTCATGAATGACTTTTCCAGCAGTGATGAACTGCTGGCAAGTGCAGCTCGCAAGCTACGACGGGACAAGGATATGAGCATCGTGCGATATGAGGACTACCTCTACCACAGAGAAAGGACCATGCACGAAACATTCGACTTTCTAGGGGTCGACTACGAGGAAACTGCTCCGCAGCGAAAAAAGGCAAGCCCCGACAGCTTGTGTGAGATGGTTAGCAACTTTCAAGAGGTTTGCGACCATTTCTTGCCATGCCAGTTGTGGAGAACCTACTTGCATGATCCTGTGAACAATTGCAGATGCAAGCCGGGAAGCTGGAAGACATTTGACTCTACCTACTGCCGCCGGTCGGCCTGGTATCAATCTAAAGACTAGGAATGGATGGTGGCAAGCCCACCGTACATTATCAAAAGTACAGCGATAGAATAAGCGGATACAGTAATAAGATTCGCCAGACCTGGCAATAACAGAAAGCCTTTCATATTGGCTGCAATTTGTTGGTAGTCCCAACTGAATGTTTCGATTTCAGAATTCGAAAGCTCTTCACGATAAGGCTTTTGCAAATCAGCCAGTCCATTTGATACAGTGCCGAAAAAAAGTATTGGGACAACCATCAATACTCACATTGCTGGCATACAGTATTGAAAAGGCCAAAATTGAGGTGCGTCTAGGACTGTAAAAGCAACGAGGAGACCGAATCCGGGGTCGGATTTAAAGATCGAGACCTCATTCGCATGATATTTATAGAAACCTTATTTATGGGTGTGTGAAAGTATAAGGTACAGCGCATGTCTTTCACAACTACATCGCTCCTAGTACTTCGTCGGACCTCCCTTTGCCATTACACACTCAAAGCACCGCTTTTGCATGGAACGGACAAACAAGCTTTTCCAGGTATTCTTCTGGAACTTCGTCCCATGCTTCCATTATAACTTCTAAAAGCTCATTCACGTCCTTAAATCGACTAATTGGTGTCCATAAACCGTTCGCGCTAGGATGCCCCATAAATTCTCGATAGGATTCAGGTCAGGTGACCTGGCAGGCCACTCTAAGAGAGGAATTTCCTCTTCGTCAAACCACTGAAAAGTACGTCCAGCGCGGTGTGTGGATGCACCATCTTGCATAAACACACAACTTGGGCCCATTTCTTGATCCACAAACGGCAAAAGATAGGACTCGAATGTATCTATATACTTAATAGCATCCTGCTTTCCATTTAAAACGGCGAGCTCGCACTTCTTAGTACCATAAAAAGCGCCCCAAACCATTACAGAATCCCCACCCTGCTGCTGTTTTGAGAACATCCGCTGGTCGGTCCGTAAATCGTGCCAATAGTGCCCAAACCCATCCAGACCGTCCAAGTTGACTTTTTTTCGTCCGACCACACCACATTGATCCAATCCGATACCGTCCAAGTGACCTTTTCGCGACACCACTGCTCCCGTGCAATTTTGTGTCTCGCGAACATCATCGGAGCGGGGACCATTTTGCTGTACTGGATAGTTGGTGTGGCGCGTAGGATATCTCGCACAGTAGATGGTGTTACAGGAAGACTAAGGGTCTGAACCAACTCTGAAGAACACAAATGACCTTTGTGGGCTTCGCGCAAGAGAGCACTTCAAGCCGTTCCCGTGAGTTCGGAGGGCCTTCTGGGCCTTTTTCTTCCCGTACAGGTCTGGGTTCCTTAACAACGTGGCCACGACGTTACAGGAGCGCGAGAGATGCGCTTCAATTCGCCTAATTGTCCAATTGTTGAGGCGAAGAGCTTGGATCTGCCCTTGTTCATGCTGGCTCAGATGCGTACCGCGAGGCATTTTTTGCTGTTTCGAAGTGAGCTACCGCATGTTTTGTGCTTTCGCCTTCCTTTTATATGCGTCTACTTCCTTTGCCAGTCTTTTTGCGGGAGATACTTCATTGTGTAGAGCGATGTTTTAAAGAAACTGCTGTGTACCTTATACGGTGGAACACCCATAAATAAGCTTTTTATAAATATCATGTAAATGAGGTCTCGATCTTTTAAATCCGACCCCGGATTCGATCTCCTCGTTGCTTTTACAGTACTAGACGCACCTCAAATTTGGCCTTTACAATACTGTATGCCAGGAATGTGAGTATTGATGGTGTCCCTAGACATTTTTCGGCACTGCACAAAGGGTTTGTGGACCCTCTCTACCGTAACTGAGCGTCTCTACATTTCGCTTTGAGGCTCACATACTGTATACTGTAGTACAGTGGATAGAGGGTGTAGATTCGAAGCGACTAAAAAGACATGCTGTACCGTTACTGTAGGAAATGCCCGTGTGCCGATTTGAAGGCGAAATATCGTAAGTCCATCGGTCGGGACATTTTTGTATGCTCTATGTGGTTCCATCCAGAGCCAAGAAAGTAAGGCACACGTAGAATAAGGCAGAGCATTACAGCACCTCACTCACTTGAACAATAAAGTCGCCGTTTTCCCCCGCTCCCGAGAGGATCGGGGGTATCGGTGTTCCTGGAATCACAGGTTATGGGCCTCATTTTTATTGCTGCGCACGCGAGTTCGAACCACACCGTTCAAACCACACCGCTCAGTATCCTTCTTCCCACACTACCCTATCACCAGCTCACACGTCAATGATTCCTTCTCTGATGATTCCTTCATAGGACTCTCAGTCATTCCCCCCTCACGTCGTTGGCCAACGGCACCTCCCCTTTTGCTCAGTGGTCATCACAGGTTATGGGCCCCACGCACCACTGAACACGATCCGTCAACTCCTACCACAAGCCACCACGGAAGACGTTAACAGACGCACACAACGCGCAAGAAGACGAGCCGCACTGCAAGACAAAGCTCACACAAGCCGCGACATCCTTCGACTCGTCAAGCAAAAAACTGAAGCTGAAACAACGACACGATCAAGCACTGCAATCCCAACGATGAAAGACAAAACAAGCATCTACGGCAACTTGCCACAGCAAACCCGATCGAACTTTGCGTACTGGTATGACGCGTTAGAGATACATGTCCGAACGATCAATGCACAAAACCAACTCACCAACTCGATCCCACCGAGCGCCGATCCAGCGCAACAGAGTGAGCAACGCAAGAGAGAAGACGTCCTGTGGAAGGCAATACTGCAAAGAATCAGCACGGACGTGGTACAACTGCTACCACCACATATCTTACGATATGAACCACACACCACCTGCACAATTGTGAAACAAGCAGTAGACACTTTCTCAATAGAAAACCATGAACTACCGGACGCGGAAGCCAGAACACTCAAGTACACGTCAGAGCAAGAGCTCACGGACTACGTACAACAACACCGCGACATCAGACACAGGATGCAAGTCTCAGGATACCCTAACATTGAGGCTGAAAGAACAACTGTGAGAAACATGGTCCAAGGTCTAGCCCACCACCCGGACATGCAATCACTCGCGATGATACTAGCATGCAACCCGCCGACCATAATCAGGGAATTCACAAACCATATCCACCAGGTCCAGCTGATCCAAACCAACGTACCCACCGCAACAAACCAGCAAGAATACAAACCGCGAACCAGAAGGGGACACTCAGCACCCACTCGTAGAATTACTACCACACGCCAACCAGCCAACAAAACACTGCACTATGAGAAACCAACGGGACGCAAAGGAATGTGGTGCCACACACACGGAAGTGTCACACACACCACTGAGAACTGCTACGCGCGCAAATACCAGAAACGTTCCCAGACAGCACACGCCCACAGCGCCACCGCGATCGCCGACGACGACCACAACGATGACACAGTGGACCACCTCAGCGAGCGACTACAGTCCCTTGAAGACGCCATCGCAGAGCAACAAAGCCCCACAGACGGTAAGCACTCATTTATATTAGACTCCGGTGCGACGCCAACACATACCGCTACACCCCACGCGGCAATGCACAGAAGCACCGGAACACTAACGCAAACCGCCACGGGAAATTACGCGAACATCACCCACACCGGCCACATCAAGATCAAGACGAAGAATGACGACATCAAAATCCCAGCCGTACACGCACCGAAGATCAAAGAAAATCCCTTATCAGTGCACGACCTGACTGTCTACGGCGATGTCACATTCAGCAGAAACAGGGCACAGCTACACGCACCCATCAAGCTACCGCCAGCACAACTCACGGCCACATACCATCAAGGCCAATACAGAATCGAACAAGACAACACAGCAACGGCGAAAGGGGCCCGAACATACAAGCGCCCGAATAAAGCCGTAACAAACAATAAAAAACCACCGCAACACCCCGCGCACCAAAACCACAAAGCGCCGACAACCCACAAAAAGACACACTGCAATATTCGGCACGACTAAAACCAACTCCCAAACTGCGAACAGCGGCAGCCCCCACCAAGACCCACAAAAAACTCACTGCAACGCAGAAGCTCCTGCACGAATGGCACCTCAAACTCGGACACGCACATCCGAAAACAATCACCACCATGTCCAAAAACGGACTATTTCCCCCAATGCCCAAAGGCATCACTGACTGCAGCGCCCAAATCACGTGCAGCGCCTGCATAAATGGCGAAATCACCATAAGACCACACCGCCGAACCCAACACACAACGCAAATCGGAGACAGTCTTCCGTCAGATGTGTGTGGACCGATCAAACCCAGATCAACACACAACACGCACTACTTCATCACGCTCATAGACACCAATGTAGTATAACCCTCCCCTGGGGCTTTATTTTAGATTAGATCAACTCAGAATCGGATCGGTTACTGTAGGGCTCGATGCTCTACAGTACCACCACGTGTACCCCCAAGTACAGGGGGCGCACGTGTACACGTGTACGCGCGGAACGAAGAGCGCGCACACACGTGTACTGTCAACCCCGATGGCTGACAGTAGTACAGTGTCGACCGACCGCTACAGTACGTCGCTACAGTACATCGGTACTGTACCATTATGATAGGTTATTATGTACATTAAATATGGAGCGGACCGGCGGCGGGGGAGGAGGACAAGCACGGACTTGTCACCCACCGACCGTCAAGGTCCGACTTCCCGCTTATTCTAAGGTAACGCTCGCTAATTACCTTAGAGCGGCACCGAGCGCGGGTTGAGGACGCACACGGTACGCCCACGAGTCGGCTCTGCCTCCGCCCGTCGGTACTGGATCGTTACCCAGTACCGCGCCGGGGCGTCGAGGCGTCGACCCGCTCGCGCGTACCGGCGTCCTCCCCGTTCCCGCTCTACCACGCTACCCGGGCCCGCTGCCCGGTGCCGTTAGCTGGTGTCCTGCTTCACCCCCGTCTTCCCAATCGACAAGGGTCTCGGTCGAACTGTGCATACACCCCTATCGCTGGGGGTGTTTATGCTACAGTGGTCTCC